AGGGTCATTGGTAAATGAGTTTAAAACAAATACGAACAGTCCAAACTTCAAAATGTCACCAGGGAGGGAAAACCCATTATAAATACTTAAGGATTTGGATACTATTTATTACAGAGGGCGGTATCATTCCCTTTATTACATAAAAGCACAGGACTGGCATCAGAAGTCTTGGACTCTAGTCTCAGCTCAGCTACTAACAAGCTGCATGATTTTTGTCAAGTCAAAGTTTCCTCTTCTCTCAAATGAGAGGATTGGACCAGCTGACCTTTAATTTCCTGTCTTGTACTAGCCATAATAATCAGAGCTAGCATTTATTGAATCTCGAGAATGTGCTAGCGTGCATTGCCTTATTTAGTCCTATAGAGGTGGAGCATATTATTATTTCCATTTCCAAGGCAGAGAGACTGAGCTTTGGTGTTTCCCAAGGGAACAAAGTTAGCACATGTTGGATTCTCTACTGGAATCCCCTGGTCTGGTTTCAGAGCTCATCTTCCTACCTATTGTGCCTTCTCTAAAATTTTGTGTTTTTCTTCTGTTGCCCAGAATGCCATTGTTTTTCTGGTTAAACAAAGAGTTGTCTTAATGCTTTCAACCAAAGCTTCCAAAATCTGGACCCAAACATGGTCTCCCCGGACTTCAGAAGGCCCAGGAAAGGCCCAGGGCAGCCAGGATTAATGGGTTGCTTGCCACCTAGCAAGAGCAGCCTTATTCATTTGGCTAGTATGCTGTGCAAATAGTACCGTTTTCTAAGCATGCTGTGATACGACAAAAGCTGTGGACTTAGGCATACGTAATGACTTACCAACAGGGTTTAGCCTGGGCTTCTCACAAGTCATATCACACGCATTTCACAAGATCCTATCATGAGAGGATGCTCTACCCCACAAATGTCAATCATCACTCCCTGAGAGTGGGATATCTCAGTCATCCCTGTACGCCCAACAGGTCCGTCTTGGACCTGGCCCTCAGCTGATCCTCAATTAAGACCTTATGTTGTCAGCTGATAGAGCAGGATCCTTCTGGCAGTGAGAATCCCACCATGTTAGAGCCAGAAGGAGCTTTAGAAATGTTAAGTCCAACCTGAAGAGGGTAGAGGATTTTTTGAAGGTCAGTCCACAGTTGGAATGAAAAGTCTGCTCTCCCCCATGCCCAGTCCGGGTCCCGTCCTTCTCAGCCTGGTAGTCAGAACCACATCCTTTGGAAACGAGGCAGGGAAAACCTAACTAGAATTTCAGCCTGCCTCTGCAGATGTCAGGAGCAAGGGAGCACCAGTAGTAAGAGAATCTGCCTCCTTTGGCTCCATCAAAGGCCACAGACCCATGAGAACCATCCAGCCTAGCCTGAGCCACACGCCCGGAGGCCACAGCAGTGCGCAGGAAAGTGAGAGGAAGTGGAAACGTGCGAGTGGAGGGCTCAAAGCAACGGGCTCACCACCGGAAAAAAAAAATAAAAATAAACACGCTCAGAAATAGTGTAACTGATATGCAAAGAAGATCAAAACAAGGGTTTTAAAATATCTTGGCTGCTTTAGAGGAGGTGGGGGTGGTAAATGAAGCGAGGTTGCAAATGTGTGTTGGGGGGCAGGGGGGAAGGTTATGTGGATGGTTCACTGCAGCCTGCCAGGCCATGGGAGCCTGAAACCCAAGGGCACTCAGATGAAAATGTGGGAGGTATAGATTCTCATGGGTAACTCAGAGATAGGCATGGACTCAGGATCAAGAACCCTGGGGACCGTCAGCCCCAAACTCCTCCCTTCCTAAGCTTGGTGCCATTCCCTGAGAATCTGCCCCATTTGGAGTCATAGACATTTGTCCCAAGGCAGGGCATTGAGGCTCAGATAAGCCAGCAGTGAAGGCACCCAGAAGTCCACCCAAGTTGGCTGAACTTCAAGGCTCAAGTAGCAGTTTGGAACAAATGTTTCAGGGTTATGGACTGAGGCTGAGCAAACTCAGGGAAGACTAATTCCCTGATCTTGCAAAGTCCAATTCCCTTTCCTTTCATTTTGTTGCAAAGAGCTACAGAAATGAACTCCCTTTTAAAGGAAAAGTTTTATTTTGAAACTGGTTCCTGAAATGAGAAACCAGAAGTTTGGTGATGGCCCTGCTGCCTGTTTATGCTCTCCCTCTGCCAATTTAACCAGCGCTAATAATAGCTCAAGGATCATGGCACATTTCCAGCATCAGACGGCCGTCAGTCAACAGCATAGGTACAAAGGGAAGCATTCGCTCCCCTATGGACCCAGATAGTCTCCTGGATTTTAGCAGAGGGAAGACACCGGGCAGGGCTAGGGAAAGGGGGGTTGCCTAGGCTTTGGAAATTAACCATCCTTCATATAAGTCTGATATTTATACTTACAAAGCACAATTATATTTACTACCCAGTGAGATGGACTGAGCAGGGGCAATCATACATATTTTCCAGTTGAGACAGCTGAGGCTCCCATGTGAAATTGTACAAGGACTCTACTCCCAATGATATATGTTCACTATAAGGCCCTGAGGAGCCAGAGATGGGAATCAGATTCCTTTGGTCTAAACTTGAGCTAGTCCTCTCCATACCTTCCTCCTCCTCCTCCCTCTCTCCTTTCTCCTCCTTTGATAAAGAAGGGTGCATTTAATACTTCAGTGATGGAATAGAAGGTGTTTCTTTTAACTTTTGATTTTTAATATTTTTCTATTGTGTTCCTTGTTTAGTCATGAGAAGGCAAATCCTACCCCCAGACTCTTCTTGAACCTGACATTTGGTAGATAACCACCAATACATGCATGTGATGACCTGTAACTAGCAAAGCCCAGACATCTAGGGCTGAGGTGGGAGACAGATGGTAGAGTCGGGCTTCGATTTCTTTCTGATGCAAATTTGCTCCATAGATCCAGAGAGCAGTGTGGTTGACGCAGGCTGTGGAATTTCACAAGGTAGCATTCCTTGTGGGCTGAGGATATCCAGGAGAGACTTCTAGATGGAGAAAGCCCTACCGAAGCAGCATATGAAAGGATAAATCTGGACTGAAGCATGGGGAGCTCTAGAGAAGCAATAAGATAAAAGCCCAAAGGTACATGGGGCATCATAGGGATTTCAAAAAGACCCATCGAGTTGAAGCCATGAAATTAATGTTAAGGAGACACTTTGGAGTCATAATGTGGAGGGCTTTGAAAGACCAGCTGAATCACTGTAATGTTATTCTGCAGGCATTTAGGAGTCTCGGAAGCCTTGTGAATGCGAGAGTAGTGTGAGAAAACTAGTGTTCTAGAAAGCTCCTTTTAGTTGTATGCAAGACGGACAATAAGGAGAGCAGCCAGGAAGAGAAGGACCACAAGGGGCAGTGTACTTAGGGTCAAGAGGCTGACTATTCTTCTTTCTAACTGCGTAAACTTGGTCAAACCAGTCCCAGATATATGCATAAATATATAAGAGTACCTCCTTCTATAATGTGAAAACGTGCCCCGCCTTTCGTTCAGAGAGGTCCAGGACACCACATGCAATGAAGTTAAAATGATTTGTAAGCTATAAAACTACAGAACGGACATGGGAGATAATGCCCCAGGTTGACTTGATGCGATGGATGGGAATGTGAGTTGGTTGGTGGCCGTGGGGGATGAGTGGTTGGGGGCCATATTGAGTGAATGGTAAGCCTCCCTCTGGAGGGGTATCGCGTTACATCCCTTGGCACCTTCTGTGTCACCTGGCACAGCCTGGGGGCCATCAGAAGATTAAGGTGTGTTGAGCTACTGCTTAAGAGTCAAAGACCAGAAATCCCTTAGGTCCCTAGTAACTTCCTCAAGGGAAAGAAAGAAAGAACAAAGCTCGCTTTTCAATCTTGATCTTGAAATACAAATAAACAGTAGAGTGACTGTTTTTGCAGAGCTGCCGAGTAATTATGGAAGGCAAGGAAGAGTCGGTTTGCACAAGGTGATTGCTCAAGACAAAGGTCTTGCCACTGGACTGGTGGAGATGTCCGGGAAGGTGCAAGCAGAAGTCAGCCCAGCTGTTCCCAGTGGCTGCTCACTCGAAGGCAGGCCTCGGCCGCATGGCCAAGAAGGGTTAACACAAAGAAGTGAAATGAAAACTGCAGAGTTGAGACTAGGTTAGGAGGGGTGAGACAGAGCCATCTGGGCGTTCGGCCAGCCCTAGGCTTCCAGTGGAAGTATTTCACAACCTCCTTCTTTCTTCACGGGTTATGTCCTTAGAGTGAGCAGCCAGTGGGAGCATCTTGGGGGAGTGGAAACTGCACTGGACTGAATGTCAGAGCTCTGCGTTCAAGCCCTGGCTCCAACACTGCCCAGTGGTGTGAACCTTTCCCTTTGGGCCAGGCTCAGATGAGACTGCATGATCCCTGGGACGCCCTTCGGATTCAGACTCCTGAGAGGGGCAGGGGACAGGCCAGCCTGTCCTTCCAAACTGAAATTCAGAGAGGACGGCTACAGTGAGTGAACTGACCTACAGCCCAGGGTGACTGAGTCCTGTGACCAGACTTTAGCTCAGGCCATGATGGCAACATGGGGAATTTCAAACAAGGTCAGCTTGGGGCAGAGGCATCTGTGTGCCTGCCAACCAGGGACTGAGGTTCAGATGAATCAGAGAGCTGGGAGCCCTGCAAGTTCACCCTCGTCACGTCGCGGAGCTGCGTGTAACTCAGAGGACAATTTCCCCGATCGATTCTTCCTTCTGAGCCCGGAACAGCATAACTTCTTTCTCTCCTGCTCCCATTTTCCTTCTCCAAGTCCCAGGAACTTATTCCCTCCCCTTCTCCCACTTCCCAAGCAGATTCTCAGTGATAAATGCACTTGCTCTCTTGCACACACTTCCCCTGTTTTTTCTGGTGACCAGCCACAGCATTGGCTCAGGCTTTGGGAAGTAGGGTGTGGGGCATGGGGGCAAAGTTCACAAGCTGGTCCCTGTGGCTGTCCCGCTGTGTCACGTGTCTGTGCAGGCAGAGTCCTGAAATGAGCATGGTGAGCTCATTTCTAAGAGGGACCCATGACTCCTGAGCCACTCAGGAGCACCATTGACTTTCTCTGGCCCTCCCTCCAGGGTCCAGGGGAGCATCCAAATGAAAGAGACCTTTGCTGAGCACCTACTAGACAGCAGGATCCATTTTTAGAGAAGACAAAGGATCCGGAGGTCAGTCCTAGCTCCTGCTTCCACAAGGAGAGACAGGGTAAGGAGGAAAGCCACTATACCACCATGCGAGGATAGTCACAAATTCAGGAAGACTTCAAATGAAGGAGAAGTAGCACTCAGTGGGCAGCTCATAGAAGTCTGTGATGTGATAGAATAATCATGCACATCGTGTTTATTATTATGGTTATTATCATAGCCAACCTTTACCAAACTCTTACTATGCTTGAGGTACTCTGCTACACCCTGTATACTCCCTTATTTCTTCTCGACGAAAGCCCTTTCCTCTTAGATAGCAGCATTTTGTAGATAAAGGACATGAGGCTCAGAGAGGTTAAGTAACTTTCCTGAGGCCTCTCAGCTAGTAGATGATGAGACCTGTGGTTTCCGTACAAGTATGGAGGTGAGGCTTTCCCATGAAGGATAAAGAAGGACAGCTTGGAGTGGCAAAGCATGGCATAGTTGTGTTTCGGCAGGGCCGATGATGGGAGGGGGGACAGGCTAAATGGGTAAGGGGCACTAAGGAATCTACTCCTGAAAGCATCGTTGCACTATATGCTACCTTGGATGTAAATTTTAAACAAATAAATTAAAGTTTAAAAAATAAACGCATAGTGCTTGGTTATGTTCCAGACACTGTTCTAAACACATGTTAAGTTATTCATTTCTTCAATTCTCATACAGTCCTAGAAGGTAAGTACCTTTACTCCATTTCACTGATGAGAAGACTGCGGCACAGCTCTGTGATGTGGGTTGGCCAAGTCCTCATGGTAATGGCAGAACCAGAATTGAGTCTAGGTAGTTTGGCGACAGGGGCCAAACTCTGAACCCCGACATTCGGTTACTTTTTATTCTGATCTCCAAGTGAAGACTCTGGCACGCCTTCAAGAGAAAGGGAGATCAGAGCAAATCATTTCTAAAGCCGCACCAACCTAACACCTTTTGATTCAGTGGAAATCAGCACGTGGTTAGGTCTTCGGCTGTGACTTATCAGCGGGCTGTTAAACACACTTTGCTGTGACACAAATATGTCTGTTCATTTCACTGAGTTCTGGCATTGGCTCGCCACTGCCCTGCCTGTGAATTGGGTGGACCCGCTGACACACTGCAGGGCCCCAGATCTTCACGTAGAAACTCACAGATATTGCACCTGCTTGCAAACCTCTTACCCAGTGGGATTGTGAAAACAGCACCCAATCTAAGCAAAAAAGTGAGCTGGGGAAGTGACTGTGAAGATTCGGGCTGCAGGGGTACGGTGATTCAGCGGGATGTGGCTGGGACGGAACACTGTCCCTGACTGCTGGCCATCGAGTCAGAGGCTTCAGTTTCCTTAGCCAGGAGGGTGAGACAGATGATTGGCTGGTGGCAATGGGGTTACTTGAGTGGAAGAAATATAATCTTTCTAGTGGCCCAAATAAGAAAGGCTCTGTATGGAAATACAATCTCAAATTCCCTAGTTTGTTTAAACGTTCAGATGGGATATAGCGAATTTCACTTTGCGGATTCCCTGGTGGGAAGGGAGTAGCCCAAGTAGTGGAAAGCGCACTGGCTTGGTGTTGGGGCATCTAGTTCCCACCTTGCTTCTCCTCCCAACTAAGTGAGAGACATTAGGTGAGTCATGGGCCCCCTTGGCCTCCGTTCACCTGTAATGATAATCTTTTATGGGGTACCTGCCACGCAGGAACTGTTCTCAGAGCTGGAGACACATTATCCTATCTAATTCTCATAGCGGCTTCATGAGGAAAGAATATGATTATTGCCATTACCCAGAGGAGGAAAAGGAGACTCAGACAGGGGAGGGAACTTACCCAAGGTCATAACTGGCCCACGGAGCTGGGAATTGCCTCTGGAGAGCCCAACTACCTCCTATGTGCCGATACACAAACCAATTCCGCTCACGTCCTTATAGAGAGAGGGTCGGGTTGTCTGGATATACCATGTACAATTCTATTTAGGACATTTGTGCCAAACATGGTCCTTCCAGTAGCAGAAGGTGGATTTGCTCAGCTCTGGGCTCTGGACTGAGCCCATCTTTGCTTCCACATTTCAGTGAAGCCTGGACGATCAGGCAGGGCTCCCTCATTGTCTTCACCATAACAAGCATGGTGCCTGACCCACGGTAGGGGCTCTGTGAATATTTGCCAAATGGATGGATGTATAGAAGAACAATTACACCTGGAAGGAGCAGCGGAGCGGCGGAAGTGATGGGCAACACGAGGGACGCAGAGCAGAGTCAGCTCCCTGGGCTGTGAGCTGGCCCAGGCCTTCTGAAAGTTGGAGATCTTCACTAGGAGATGAGATTTGGCGTTTAGATTAAAAGCTGCAATGTGGCATGTGAGTCCCCTGGGACAAACAAACTCTCCACTGAGGAATCCCGAGATGGGGTGTCTGCCCCCGTGGAGTCTGCCTACTAAGAGAAAGCTTCGAGAGCGGGTTCCAATTCCACCTGCTCTCAGGGAAGTGGGGGAGCCTGTCAGCTGCTCAGGGCCGGGCTTTCCTGCTCTGCCTAACTTTTCCTCTAGCCAGTTGGGGTTGGGACTCTTACGTTCCCTCTTGTGTCCCCACCCGAGCTTTCCTTCCTTTGTAACGGGAAAACCACCTCTGGTCTTTTGTGCCATCCACTGCCCCTCACAGCCTACCCGTGCCCCCGGGGTCCTGTCCTTGGCTAGGTGACATTTATCTTTATTCAGATGAACACTCTTGATGGGGTGGTCTTGGGTATTGGTGTGCTTCACCCTGGTCAGATAATCACCCTTCACTGTGGCCCTGAAGACATGGCTAATGATGGCACTTTTCCGCCCTAGGATAGGTTTGTGGGGGAAAGAACGTTACGCGCTGCAATGATAACAGCCACCGATACAATTGGCAAACTACTTCCTCATCCTTTACCTCACTGATTGTCCTGTGCGAGGGCAGTGGCGGCGCACTGTGACACTGTGAGAGGAGAGCTTGTGGTCCCTTCTCGGCCACTAACTGTGCGACCTCTGTCTCACTTCTTCTTTTTAGTGAAGAATCACCCCAGGGGGTGATTCTGGGACTTCTTTGGCTTTGACCTTCCTCACATGTAGGTAGTAGAAGCCAGGTTTTACAGAGAGCAAACAAGGCATAGGTGCTGCGGGCCATTTGGAACCCATAGCATTCTTACACGACTTCCTTAGGTGGCATTCTTACCACAGTCTTACATCCTTGCCTTCTGCGGCTTCTCAGTGTGTGAGGTGCCGACGTGTCTTGAGACAGACAGAACAGGGGTTGTTAGTGTGCTCATTTCACAGACAAGACTCCGAGGCTCAGAGAGAGTTAATGCACTGGCTGGGGTCACACAAAGCAAAACGGAGGAACTGGGATTTAAACCCAGGCCACAAGAATGGCCAACCCTGCCTATGGGGTGGATGGAGTCTCTTGGGAGGTATTGGTGTGCGGTGTGTGTGTGTGTGTGTGTGTGCACGCGTGCACACATGCGCACACTCCCCTGAGACTCAGGGCCAGATTGGCTCCAGGGAGTGATAGCTGGGTTCTGAGGTAACTCCACTCTGGAAGGATCTGGCTACCACTTCTCCCTCAAAAGCCAGCCCCTCAGACACTGTGCCAGCCTGCCTCCCCTCCACCCCCGCTGCAAACCATGCCTTGGCTGTGGCAGTTGTGTGCCTGGTCTTCTCTGTTCAACCTTCCAGATTCATTCTTCCTCTCTTCTCTTCTCTCTATGAGGCTCACTTTGTGGACATCAGTAGGTTCCCATGTCCTCTGGCTTCTGGTTGGACTCGCTGATTAGGTGAGCGGAGGGCGGGAAGAGGGAGAAGTGAGGCTAGGTCTCCCCATTTCCCCCTCTCTGCTGGCGGTAGGCTGGCCACGGCTGCTTGTGTCACAGCCATCTCCTGCAGCTTCCCAACACAGTTGCCGATTCCGGTAACTGCCTCTCTCCTTACCCTTTCAGCCGGAGGACACGTAGTAGCTCCCAGTGGTTGTTAGCCCCAGGCTGCATCACCATCTCTTGATTTTCCTTAACCCTGTCCACACCTCTATAAATTATGCTTTAATTAATCTCTCTTTGGTCGGCCTCTCTTGAGTGTGTCTTTCTGCTTTGTCCCAGGACTGTGGCTGATAGAACACGTCTCATTCTTCCTTGTCTCTAGTCTTTTACTTCTTTTTTTTTTTAATTTCTTTTAATGTTTATTTATTTTTGAGAGAGAGAGAGAGACAGAGCGTCAGTGGGGGGAGGAACAGAGGGAGAGGGAGACACAGAATCTGAAGCAGCTCCAGGCTCTGAGCAGTCAGCACAGAGAGCCCAACGTGGGGCTCGAACCCACGCACCGTAAGATCGTGACCTGAGCTGAAGTCGGATGCTTAACCAGCTGAGCCACCCAGGTGCCCCACCTAGTCTTCTATTTCTTAGAAACATTTATGACCACAGGCTTTTAACACGAAGGTCTGCAGATATTGTTCCCCGTAATATTTAACTGGATAACAAAGCTGAGCTAGGAGAAGCAGCCAAGGGTTGGAGTCGTGTGGGGGTGTTGTAAAGGGCACCAAGTCTGGACCCGGAGGCTGAAGACCCAAGTTCACTACCCAAGTTCACTAGCTGTGTCAGTTTACCAAGTCACTTGGTCCTTCCGTTAAATAAATCATGAATCATGTTTGCCTCATGTTCCCCATAAGCTTCTTGGGAAGACCAAAAGATACAAAGGCACTGGAAGTAGTCTATAAATGCTGAAGCATTCTCTGAGCATTAGGTATTTCTGTTGTTGTGTTCATCATAGGCAGCATATGGGCAAAATCCTCAAAAGGCCATGTGCTTCATTTTCCAATGCACTCAGTTTTCTGTGTCACTTCTGTGCCTCCCGGATTAGAAGAGCTGGCATTTGTGGAATCCAAGGCTGATGTCCAGGGAGGATTGGCCAAGCATGGTCCCGCATGAGCGGAGCTAAAAATACCTTTGACTTCAGTGGGAGCATCTCAGTCCCAAGAGGGCTGGGCCTAAGGGACCAGGACTATGTGAGGGAAATGACGTCTGTCATTCATCTGCTAGGGTTACCAGAGGGCAGGGAGAAGGTGGCTGTCATAAGGCCAACCTTTTCAAGAGCCAGTGGGAACACTGGCTTGACCTATGTGTGTGTTAGGGCGGCAGGTGGGTTGGAGAGGATGGTACCTTAACATTTTGTACTTTTCTGTTAGAGTGAAGGATATGGCTTAGAGCTCTTCCTCATGGCCACGTATCTCAGGAATGCTCCCAGATGGCCTTATGGAGATGGTAGCCACCCACAAGCAGAAGGGGGTGAGGAGGAGGTAATTCTAGGCTTTTGGCTTGGAGCGGAGTTCAATCCAGGGACGGAGAATCAAATGCAGCAGCTTTAGCTTAATATTTCCTGGAATGGGGTCTGGGGAGGCTCATTGTCTCTCTATCCTAAAGATCAGTGGTTTTAAAACCAATTCTTAGAGCTCTAGACCCTTGCTTTGCTAATGTGGTCCGCGAATCACCAGCATCAACGCCAACTGGGAGCTTGTTAGAAACGCAGAATTTCAGATCCCACCCCAGACCCCTAAATCAGAATCTGCATTTTAACCAGATCCACTAAAGATTCATATGGACATTAAAGTCTGAGAAGCACTATTTTAGAATCCCTCTGAAATGCCTGAGGAGGCAACCCGTAGTTGCTCCCTAGTTATATATATGTGGAGTCCCATAAAAGAGAACATGTGAAAAAGGGGTCCATTTACACTTTAAAAAAGAAGAAACCTCTTCCCCTCCTTTTGGTAGAAGAGGAAATTCTGCTGATGTTAGGACCCTGCTCCTTGTCTCTTCTTCTGAGGCCAGATCCTCACCCCTCTGCCTTTCCCCTGAGCTCTTCAGAAGTCTAGCACAAGCCTAGCGGGAGGCTCCATAAATCAGGGGTTCTGGTCGGAGACCAGTGGGACCTCACAGTGTTTCCCAAGCCACACCGTTCCCAGCTCCGGGGGTCTAGCCTTGACACGGCTGCCTGGTGAGACACTGATGACAAAAAAGTAGCTTATGGTGACCCGGGAGTTTAGGGCTCAGCTTGGTTCTTTGAAAGGAGAAGACAGAGGATGTGGAGCTTCCTCCTCTGCAGGTAGAATTATGCGGGGAGCTTAGTGTTTGTTGTATGAAGAACAGCCTGGCAGGAGCTGAGAAGAGATAAGTCTACTTCCAGCTGGGATCTGGGCACAGCCTCAAGGTAGCAGGCTTTCAGGATTTCCAGCGGGAGTGCTTGGCGGCCTGCAGCAATATCTTTTGGGTTTCAGTTTGCTGCAATTATAAATATCTGTGATTTGCATTTCCTTTCCATCCTACCCTAGAGGATGTCAATGCATTCTGCTATTGCTTCCCCCTGCGCCGCCCTTACACGAGTCCCGTATTGACAACATTCATGCCTTCCTTTTTACAGAAGGGGAAACTGAGGTTCCCCATGCATGGGTGCCATCTACATCTGGGCTGATCTGGAACTGGGAAATTCTCGAAGGAAAACTTTGAACACTGGTTCCAGGCTTTCTGGCTTATACTCTAGCCCCTCCCGTATCGGAGACAGAGTGTGTATTTCATAGACTTTCCTGGGTGATAGGAGCATTGCACAGTTTGAATCCATAGCAGGTGACACGCAGAAAGATTTGGAGCAGAAGCCACAGCTTTTTCACGAAGAGTCTCCCTGTGGTTTAGAGAGACCTGAGGCACAAACCTTGGACCAGCTTGTGACTCAAGATACTTGACTTATCTGAGTCTCAGGGTTTTTTTTTTATTTCTTTGATTTGAAAATGAGGATACTAAGATTATTTACCACCTAAGGTTGTTATGAAGATGAAATACACGTCCATATAAGATGTTTATTGGAGAATTGGCCCCTCAAAGCCCTTGATGCTTGTCAGCTCTTAGCTAGTGGAGGCAGTCATCCTTTCTCCCACTGATGCCTGAGGAAAAGGAAGAAGTGTGACAGGCAACCCCACATTTGCAACTGAGTCTTTCTTTTGAGGACATCAATGCTCCGGATCTTAGGAAACGGTTATCCAAGATTTTAAACATCATGTGTAGAACAAATGGGGTCTGATGCAGTCCACACTGAGTTTTTCCTCGGTTCTAGTTATGTAACTATTCACCAGTAATGCAGTAGTTCAACAAGCCCAGTCTCTAGGCCAGGGGTTTCCATCCTGACTTCAGTTGGGAGAGACAGGGGATGTGGGGTAGAAGAAGGCCTGGCTTGAGATCCGCAGGACCTGGGTTTGTCCTCTGATTCACCTTGAGACCATGGACAATTCAACCTTTCCCTTGTGCTTCGGTTTCTTCACCCGTCCAAGGAGGAGACTGATCTAGGAGCTTCATACGGCCAATCACCTGAGATCTATTGTGGACAATAAAGACCTCTGAAGCCATGCTCTGTGGGCACTACATTTCTCTCTTTTCTCTCCATCTCTACCTGTCCTAATGAATGGGGTCTGAGTTGAATGAGAATAAGCTTATGAAATCATGTTTTACATATTCAAAGTGGTTCCATACTCACTTACCTTCTTCTAGCTTCACAAACAGCTCAACAGAGGCAGATAGGGTGAATGTCATAATTCCTATTTTATTGACAACAAAATTGAGGCTCAGAGAGAGAAAGAGACCCAAGGTCGCTTTGCTCACAGAGACAAAGCCGTGCCTTTGCATTTCTAGTTCGGATTTCCTCTGCCGGCAACTCCCAGGACCGGGCAGAGAAAAGATATATGGCCGGGTTGGTTCCCCAGGCCAAAATGAGTCCCTCTTGATTCTGCTTAATTTCCCTTCCCTGCCCAAGCTCTGGCATCCTCCTCACTCGGCCTCCCAGTAAGAGAGTGATGTGGAAAAGCCAACTCCAAGGTGAGTATTCTAGATGAAGTGCGCTGAGGGCTGCATTTTACCCCTCCGCACATTCTCCTCCAACCTGTGCTACTGTCCTTGTCCGGGCCTCACCATCTGATCGGGAGCATCCATGTGAGGCCACGGGAGACTTAACTCAATTATTCTCAGAGGACGCAGCAGACGGAGGCCTGAACAGCAACAGCCTAGGCCAAGTGTGACAGGGAGGCTGCTGGGCTGCACGGTTGACCTGCTCCAATGGGTTGAAGACAAGTAATTGGGCAGAAAGTCATGCACCTGGATGATGAAAAGATAAGCTTCCAAAGAGGGGGGCAGGGAAGGTAGTACGACACCTGCCATGAAAATGGGTGTATGAGTTTTTGAGGAGAATTAGTCAAGGAGATTTGGA